GTTGCCAGCAGATCGGGGGAAGTGATTATTCCCCTCTATTCGGCACTGGTGAGGCCACAGCTGGAGTACTGCATCCAGTTTTGGGCCCCCCACTACAAAAGGGATGTGGACAAATTGGAGAGAGTCCAGCAGAGGGCAATGAAAATGAGTAGGGGGCTGGGGCACATGACTTACGAGGAGAGGCTGAGGGAACTGGGCTTATTTAGTCTGCAGAAGAGAAGAATGAGGGTGGATTTGATAGCAGCCTTCAACTACCTGAAGGGGGGTTCCAAAGAGGATGGAGCTCGGCTGTTCTCAGTGGTGGAAGATGACAGAACAAGGAGCAATGGTCTCAAGTTGGACATTAGGAAACACTACTTCACTAGGAGAGTGGTGAAGCACTGGAACGGGTTCCCTAGGGAGGTGGTAGAATCTCCATCCTTAGAGGTTTTTAAGGCCCAGCTTGACAAAGCCTTGGCTGGGATGATTTAGTTGGTGTTGGTCCTGCTTTGAGCAGGGGATTGGATTAGACGACCTCCTGAGGTCTCTGCAACCCTAATCTTCTATGATTTAAAACAAACAAACAAAAAAAGAATTTCTTCACAGTGAACCTGTGGAACTCTTTGCCAGGGGATGTTGTGAAGGCCAAAACTAGAACAGGGTTCCAATAAGAACTAGATACATTCATGGAGGATAGGTCCAGCAATGACTATTAGCCAGGGTGGACAGGGATCCAACACCATGTTCTGTATGACTCTCGCCTCTGTTTGCCAGAAGGTGGAATGGGTGACAGGGGATGGACACTTGGTGATTACCTATTCTGTTCATTCCCTCTGGGGCATCTGGCATTTCCCACTGTAGGAAGACAGGATACTGGGCTAGATGGACCATTGGTCCTACCCAGTATGACCATTCTGATGTTATTATATAGAACCCAGATGTATTTGCTCCTCGCTATAGCCCACTAGACCCTGCTCTCCTCCCAGAGCTAGGATAGAACCCAGGAGTCCTAATGGGGTCTCTCTCTCCACAGAGTTAGTAATAAAGTAAGAATAGACATTAAAATTTTAAACCTAAAATTGTCCCTTAAGTGACTTGCCACAAGACGTCAGAACATGTTATTAGAGCTGAGTGGGTCTAATATTGATTTAATTTTCTTTCTTTTATAAAGGAAATAGATACTGGGCTCCTGTCAAAAAACTAGAGTTTTCAAGTGCCTAAGTAGCCCCAGGAATCACGGTTAAAGTTGCCCCCCTGCCCACCAAAATCTGAAATGGCACCCCTGGTGGGACACACACTGGAGCAGCACAACGCAGGAGTGCCGTGTGGGCTGCATGGCACTTAGCAGGTCTGGAATTGCGGTAACACCTAGAGATCCTGACGAAGGTCCCTTGTGCCAGGTGCTGGACACACACACAGTCCCTGCCCCAAAGCGCTTAAAATCAAAGTCAGGAGTTTGAACCCCCAGGGGGGTCACACACCGGTGCCAGGGGGTTGTGACCTACCTGCCCTTCCTATAATGCTGAATGGGAGGGGGCTGCCAGGTGGGATCCCCGAATGGAGAAGCTAGAGACTCATTGATCTAGGGCTGAGACAAGAGACAAAGGGGGGGTCCCAAGTAATGGGTAACAGCAAGATAAGTGTGGCAAGCAGCTGCCACAGCACACCCACTGCTTAACTAGGGGTGAGCGTGGGGCAGGCCCGCTCTAGCTGGAAACCCAGAGAAAGGCAGTGTTGCCTAATGGATTGAGCCTTGTCTGGGTTGTCCCCCTCCCCAGTTAGCTGTAAAGAATGGATCTATTTCATTGCATTGTTTGATATTAATGAGGTTAAAATGGTTTTTGCATATGTATGTTAACGTTATACTGTGTTACAGGAGGGCGTTATACGTTTATAACGTTCATGGATTTTGTTTCCATTTGGTATTCTGACGTTTGTACCAAAAAGCAAACTCTGATAAGAACCTAACTAAAAAAAAAGGAAAAAGAACAGAGCTCGGTATTCTGATCATCATCTGTGCATTCACCTCTCCTGGGGTGCAGTAGTGACACAAGCTAGTTGCTTTTTGCCTCTTTTCACCATCTGGTGTGTAGTTCTGGAAAGACGGTCAACTCATCCACCCTCAGAGCTGTACAGGGCCGGGTGTCTCCCTTCCCCCACAGCTTGGGTCGTCCCTTACACCTGTGCAATGTGGGTGTGGGGTGCGAACAGGTTTGAATAGGAGGTTTGAATGAAGGATAGCAGCAGCTGCTGCAGGCAGGATTGAGAGAGGTCAGCAGAGCTGGGGGACGGCCCAGGGCTGGGAGAGCAGGGTCGGGGAGAGCTGTGGGTCAGGAGGATTAAGTAGCTAGAACATCACGTGTGAAGGGCAAGAGCTGAGCTGCTGCTCACAGGAACACTGGTTTCAATCTGGAGTCACTCCACTGAAGCCAGAGGCTGTCTCTGGATTGACACCAGTGCCTGCGACAGGGCTGCCACCTGTCCAGGCTCTCCCAGGATCGTCCCTTTTCTGACGTATCTGCCCAGGTGTTCAGTGCCCATGGCCAGTTGGCCAGTTTTGTGGGCTCAGCATCATCCCAGATGTCCCGGGTTTTTGTACCTTAATCTGTAGTCAGCATCAGGCCCCGTGTCTTAAACGTCCCTGTCTCTTTGCTGTGCCTCAGGAAGTGGAGCTGTTCCTCCAGGGAGCAGCCCTGCCTCTTTCCTCCTGTTCTCTTTAAACCCTCTCTAGCCCGCATGCTGGACGTCCCATCTCTCCCAGGCAGGGGGACCAGGTGCTGAGCTCTCTGGAAAGTGCCCGGGTTCTATGTGACGGGATTCACGGGCTCTGTCCTGGTAAGTCCAGTGCAGGTGCTGTGGGATAATAGCACAGTAACAAACCTGGAGCCACCCAGTCCTTCCCGGCTCTCCCCACTCGCAGACAGCAGGGCTCCAGCCCAGGTCTTCCAGCTCCAAAGCACAGCCCCCCCCCAACACTGCAGTTAAAGAACCCCCACTAGTAGAGCGGGGCCTGTGGCTCATGGTCCAGCAGGTCTGAACACAAGAGCAAATTCAGCATCAACACATGCAAAGTAAGGCACATTGGAGGGAAAAATGTAAACGACTCATGCACTGTACAGGGGTCTATATATGTCTCCTCTCCCTCACTCTGGTGTAAATCAGGAGTGATTCTGTGGAAGCCTATAGAGTTACACTGGTCTAAAACCATTCTATGGCCCTGATCCTGAAGACAGTGACACACCTATGTACTTTTACTCCAGCAAGTCATCCTGTTAGACTCATGAGCTGTCAGGTTGCCTGTCAACAGACGCAGATGCTGAAAAGGCATTTGATGGGGTGATGTGGCTCTATCTCTGGGGTCTCAAACTTCCAGCCCGTGGGCCATCCGCGGCCTGAGAACCTCCCCACTGTGGCCCGTGGAGGAGAAACGCAGGAAGCCACGCTGCCAGCTCTGTCTGCTGCAGGCACCGTCCCCCGCAGCTCCCATTGGCTGGGGGAGAGGGACAGAGATACCATCACTAGTCGCCGGGCAGAGTCAGCCATGGAGCCGCGTCACTTTTCTCCACAATGAATATAAACAAGTCAAAATTCTGAACACAACTGTCTGATGCCCACCTTGCTGCATCCTGAAGGTTTCAACAGCTCAGTCACTGAGGTCAAACATCAACAAACTGACAGAACGGAAGCGTTGCCGGGTGTCTGGCAAACACTAAAAACTCGGGGATCGGTCCTGCTTTGAGCAGGGGGTTGGACTAGATGACCTCCTGAGGTCCCTTCCAACCCTGATATTCTATGATTCTATGAACTCTCTGGCAGGGGAAGAATTGTATCAAGTTGTATGACAGTTTTATTAGTGCTAAGAAATTCAAAATAAAAAATACAATATAAACATTTTCTTGTCTGAACACCATCTTCAGCGACTTTACTGGCCCGCTGGGAGGATTTGAGGACTGGCCCTGGCCCTAAGGGAAATTAAGATTGCGACCCCTGCTCTATCTCTCATGGCAGGGTTAAGGCCAAGTCTATGCTACAGAATTTTGCTGACATAACGAGGGTGGCTAGGAAAAGGAAAAAAATCACACTGAAATGCTCTGCCAGTGTAGACACAGCTTATACCCACTCTGATACAGCTTATGTCATTTAACTATACTGCCAAGAGAACTCCTTTAGCTGGTAGAAGGTACGTGTCCACGAGGGGACTTTGCCTGTAGAGCTGTAGCAGCAAAACCTCTGTAGTGTAGACTAGCCCTAAGAGAATTTGGGTTTAGCTCAGTTTTCCTTAATTGGGCTGATGTCTTTCACAATTCTCTGCATTTGGCAGGACTGGCCTCATAGTCCCATGTGCCAGCTAGTTCTCCAAGGACCATTAGATCCAGAGCTGGCACATCACTTTTATGACCTGTGTTATACGGGAGGTCACATTAGATGATCTAATGGTCCCTTCTGGCCTCACAATCTGAATCTATGACAATCTCCTTGTACAAACTTACCAGGCCCAGATCAAGTCATCACATGATTCTGTGGCAATAGTAGTGATCAGTGCGGGGGCAGAGCAACTCATAGTTGTGGGAACAACTGGATGGGCTATGGAGCACATTTCTGATACCCTACCTGCAAGGGAAGATGGAAGGCTGAGAAGGGCAGAGTTAAGGGCATTGGGGGCTTAACTGGGAATTTCCAGACTTTCAAGCTTTGGGGTTTCTTGTAAGTTTCACCAGAACTCTAAATGACCTGTCTCTATAATGGCTTCTTGGGGTTTTTCGCTCGCTCCAGGGTCTCACAGCTGGTGAGCTGCAAGGCGTCCTGAACAAAGTTTTGTGTCTAGATCAGTATCCCATCTCAGACACGCGGGCAGTGTCAGGTGTGAGAACCTGTGGCAGTTTCCTTTTACAGCAGTGTCTCTGTCCCTGTTCGTTGCATCCCCCACACTCTGAGCACCTATCAGAACCAGAGATTATCTAGCCACGCTGTGACCCGGGCACCACGTGAAACTGCCATGCTGGGGGGAAGGCCAAGACAGGAATTAAGAGCCGGAGCCACCCACCAAACTGAATCTATGGATGGAGCATTTGGAAAGGCCCCAGCCCACCGGTGAGGACACTGGCCTGCGTGTGTCAATTGCTGGAGAATCTGCTGGGGATCAATTCCTTTTGCCACTGTTACAGTGTGGGCTGCAGGGGCATACAGCATCAGGCACTGTCTATCTAGAGTCGCTTATCTCCTTTCCTGTATCTTGCTGTGTCAGTTCCTGGGCTGCTCAGTGATTCGGGCTCCCGGGCACGGCTGCAATGCACAAGACCGATCATCCCAGCAAGGTGTAACTGGGAAGGGCCTAGGAAAGGACCTCTTAGGCAGCATCTCCCCAGAGGCATCCCGGTTCCCTGTCACTGTCTCCCAAGGGAAGGTCTGGGCGCCCCATGGCGTGGGGGTGTCAGAGTCGGGCTGAACCTGTGTGCGAGCGACTGGGTGGCAGAAGGCCCCACGAGGGGGAAGGGCAGGGGAGATCAGGGCGGGGCAGCGGGGGGGTTATCTCATCCTGTGCCTGCCACAGGGTAGATCAGCTGATGAAAAGGAGGCTTCGAAGCTGCGGGCGCTGGGTTTAGCCTCCCAGAGCCCTCACTGCTCAGTGGAGTGATGCCAGAATCCCCCCGGCACCCAGACCTGGCCGGCCCGACTGTCCCAGTCTCTGACCGATCACTCCACGGACACTGACTGCTCCCTGTTCTGTAGCCCACCAGGATGGCAGGAGCTCCCCGTCCCTTCCTTCTTTTCCTCCTGCTGGTTTCCCAGCCCAGGGGTAAGTTACGCGGGGCTGGATCCACCCCAGCGGGGGGGCTGGAAATGAAAGGGTGAATCTTGGGAGGGGATGGAAGCAGGAGCTGGGCCGGGCTGGGGGGGTCTCACTCCCCTCAGGGATCCAGTGCAGTCTGAGCCCAGCCAGCGCGAGGGCCTGATCCTGCGTCCCTGACCCACATGTTGCCCAGGCAGAGGGAAAGTTGGAGAGACATGGCGCCGACTCTCGGCCTCTGTTTCTGGCTGGCCTCTTCTCCGCTCCCCCCCCCCCCACCATCCCGTGCCGTCCACGATGGAGGTTCTCTTCTTCGCCCTGTGGGGTGTTTGTTCGCAGGAGGGTAGTTTGCCAGGCAGTGACCCTCAGCCACCCTGGGTACTCACCGGGGCTGCTGCCTCCATGAAAAGAACTGAGGGCTTGGGGGGTCACGGGCACATTGTTAAACAAGACAATGACCCCCAGGGAGAGGCAGGAAGGCCCAGCAGTGAGAGCCCAGAGCTGGCCGACAGGAGAGCTGGGTTCTCTCCCTTTACAACTCCAGCATTGCTGTAACCTCAGCACCCTCTGGAAGAGGCAGCAGGGAGAGCAAGAAACAGGTGGCTAGGGGATGAAACCCGCAGCCTGGCGTCATGGCCCCAGAACCCTCCCCTCCTGTTCCCGACTCTGCCAGTGACCCGGTGCAGGTCACTGCACCACTCTGTGCCTCAGTTTCTCCATTTGGAGATCATTTATTACCGGCCCTTTAAAAATTCCTCCAGTCCTGCATGATGAATGCCATTGGGTAACACTGAGTTCCTGTGTGAAAGGAGATTTCCCCACCTACCCACAGGAGAGGAGAAATTTTAAAGGGACAGGACTGTATTTCCCTCCTACACACGGCATATCATGTGGCTTAATTCAGGGATTCCAAGGCCAGAAGAGACCCTTGGGGTCATCTAGTCTGACCTCCCATCTAAGACAGGCCCAAGAATTCACTGATGGGCGTAAGGGGCCCAGGGGCTCAAACCAGTGAGGTGCTAACAAAGGTCCAAGAGCTTTTGTAATTCACACTCTGTGACTGGAGGGAGTTGCAGTGCTGGGTCGGGGATGGCTGGGCTTGGTCTGTTTCCTGGACCCTTTTATTCTGTGTTGTCAGACACAAGTCCTGCTCAATCAGTTTGTCTCCCCAAACTGATGAACGGTATTCTGGGAGAATCAGTCGTCCTCCCGCTTGATTCCGGGGAGACGTTCAAGAGCATCACCTGGTCCGCACCCAGCCCGCACCAGGACGCACCCTCAGGCAGAAGGGTGCCTCTTGCTGTTGTCACACCGGGGGGCCCCGGAGCCCTGCCCCGTCTCACTGTGGAGGACGAGAGATACAGAGGGCGAGTGAGACTCCACGGCCGGAGCTATTCGCTGGAGATCAGCAACCTGACGATGGCAGATGAGGGTGAATATGGAGTAGCGGAAAACACAGTCGCACACAATATGTACTACTGTGACTATCCATTGCTCATCTACAGTGAGTGTCTGTGCGTGTGTGTGGGGGGAGGTGCAGGCGCTGGGAGCGGGAGGTGGTAATGTGGACTTCAAATGAGATGCCGGCTTCACAAGAAGCTTTTAGCAGACCGTTTGGTATCTGGAGGGGCACCTTGGGGTGAGCCAGGACTTCCCTCTGGGACCAAGCTATTACAGTACTTAAAGCTCTCTGAATGAACAAATGAGAAGGATGGATAGATAGATGGATTGGTGTGTAAGGGGATAGATAGATAGATAGATAGATAGATAGATAGATAGATAGATGGGGTGTATGGGGATAGATAGATAGAGAGATAGACTAGATGATAGGTGTGTATTGAGATGGATAGTTGATAGCCCAAGTCTAGGGTTTGGGCTTGGGCTCACAGCTTAAAGAAAATAAGCAGAAGGCTATTGGGGAAAGGCGAGAGATAGACAGAGACAGGGGAGGACAGGGTAGGGGAGACACAAAGGTAAAGGTGCAGCCTATTCACAGAGTCCTGCCATAAGCCTACAATGTCTACAAACATGGCTCCTGCAGACCCTGAATCTGTCCCTTGGGGAGAGTGGGGGGCAGCTAAACCCCTCCCCTGAACAGGATCTGGCCCCTGGCTGGAAGTATAGGGTGACCAGATGTCCTGATTAGGGGCATTGTCTTATATAGGCAACATTACAACCCTCCTCCCCCAAAAAACGAAGTGTCCCGATTTTTCACACTTGCTATCTTATGGAAGGTGACCTCTCCTGTCCCAGCCACATGGCGCAGTGAGGTTGGGTGATGCTCTCACACGTGGGGGAAAGTTGCTAAGGGGGAGAAATCCCTGTGTGTCAGCCCCCCGGCCTGTAGTCTCAGGCCGTCAGCGGGGGGAGCCTGCAGCAGGTTCTCACCTCGGCAGCCTCTGTACAGAGTTATTTTGTATTTCCCGCCCCCATCTGGGCCACAGAGCGACTGTCGGAGCCGGAGATCAGGGTCCATCCTGTGATGATTGGGAACGGCACTTGCAACGTGACCTTCACCTGCAGCGCCGGGGAGAGAGCCAGGCACCTCAATTACACCTGGACACGTCCCGCAGGAGGCGCCGTTCTCGCCACCAAGGAATCCCTGCTGCTCCAGCACAGACTGGGGGACGAGGACTCGCCCATCACCTGCACGGCCACAAACCCCGTCAGTAACAGCTCGGCCAGCGCCTCCCCCAAGGTGGCCTGTGAAGGTGACGCTCGCTCCATCCCCCCACTCGAGCGCATGCAGCAGGGAACAGCCCTTGCGGGCCTGGCTCGCGGACACAGTGAGCACCACTAGTGGGCTCGCAGGCTTTTTAAGGGAACTACTCCCCAATTCCTACACCCCACCCTGGCACTGGGCAGGAAGGTCTGTCGCTGGGGGGCACCGAGGGTCTGGCCCAAAGGGAACAGCTGGGTGTTTGCATGCCAGCTCACTGGGGTCTTTGGAGTCAGAGCTCCCGGCACTCGGTATAGATTTGGGTTTCCAGACGGCGCGAAGCCCCTAAAGATTGATTTATTCCTTCAGGTCCCGTTCTGCCCCAGACCCCAGCGCTGTCCTACTGCCGCACCAAGGGGATCCTTGTGCTGGGGGTGCTGGGAGCCCTGCTGGCCGGGATCCTCATGGTGCACGTCCTCCCCACGAGGGAGCAGAGACGGCCGTGAGAGGAGAGGAGCTTCCACTGTGGCTGTTCATCCCCCTGCCTCCGGGCTGGAGTTTCCCACGCGAGCCAGCTAATGAATGAGAATGCCCCATCGCCCACTGCAAAAGCCTCAATTTCCCTTCCCCTCAGGAAACAGGAGCACAGCGACGCTATTGCGCTAGACTCGGCCAAACGTGTAGCAATCCCGGATCCTCCGCCTGACTGTTCTGGGGCACAGGGCAGGGGCATCTCCAGGATCGGAGTCTCTCTCTGGCCCAGCGACCATGGAGTTATGTATAGAAAGTGGAACAGCTGGGATAGGAGTGACTGAGAGACACCCTCCCAAACAGCCTGGTGCACAGGGCCTTCCACGGGGACGTGGGAGATCTGGGTTCACGTCCTGCTCTGAATCAGGCAGCACTGGGATTTGACCCCATGTCTTCCACATCCCAGCTGAGTGCCCTGACCTCTAGGTGATGGGGACTAGGGACTCCTGCTCTCACTTTGGTTTTATCTGAGAAATGGCTGAGCTGGCTCAGGTCCCCATCTCCAGGCGAGGGTTCGTGGCTGAGGGTCCCGGCTGGAGAGAGGCACCTAGTGCCAGCCGTCCCTGTGGGGTGGAAGGCCCAGATCAATAGGAGCTGTGAATCTGGGCCCTAAACCCCACCCCTTTCCTCTGCATTTCACTCCTGGCCTGCTCAGCGAGCAGGCCTCTGAAAATCCCTTCCTTGGGTGCCGAGCTCTGCCCATGTGTAGGACTGCTGAATTTCTATTTGCAGAAAATAGAACACCCTTGCCCCGCCCCTTCCCTGAGGCCCCACCCCCACTCCCTCCATCCCCCCTCCCTCTGTTGCTCGCTCTCCCCCACCCTCGCTCACTCACTCATTTTCACCAGGCTGGAGCAAGGAGTTGGGGTGTGAGAGCGGGTGCGGGCTCTGGGGTGGGGCTGGAGATGAGGGGTTTGGGGTGGAGGAGGGGCCTCCAGGCTGGGGGTTGAGGCCGAGGGGTTCAGAGTGTGGGAGGGGGCTCCAGGCTGGGGCAGGGGGTTGGGGTGTGGGAGGGGTACAGGCTGTGGGCTGGGGAGTGCAGGCTCCGGAGTAGAGCCAGATATGAGGGGTTCAGGGTGTGGAAGGGGGCTCGGGCTGGGGCAGGGGGTTGGGGTGCAGGAGGGGGTGAGGACTCCAGCTGGGGATGCGGGCTCTGGAGTGGCGCCGGGGATGAGGGGTTTGGGGTGCAGGAGGGGGCTCCAGGCTGGGGCCAAGGGGTTCATAGTGTGGGAGAGGGGTCTGGGTTGGGGCAGGGGGTTGGGGTGCAGAAGGGAGTGCGGGCTCCAGGAGGGAATTTGGGTGCAGGAGGGGGCTCAGGGCTGGGGCAGGGGGTTGGGGAGTGGGAGGGAGTGCAGGGTGCAGTCTCAGGGAAGGAGTGTGGCTGCAGGAGGGGGCTCAGGGCTGGGGCAGGGAGTTGGGGCATGGGAGGGAGTGCAGGGTGCAGTCTCAGGGAAGGAGTGTGGCTGCAGGAGGGGGCTCAGGGCTGGGGCAGGGGGTTGGGGGGCAGGAGGGGGTGCAGGCTCTTGGAGGGAGTTTGGGTGTGGGAGGGGGTTCCAAGCTGGAAAAAGGGGTTGGGACTTGGGAGGGGGTTTGGGGTGCAGGCTCCAGTTGGTGCTTACCTCAGGCAGCTCCAGGGAAGCTGCCAGCATCTCTCTCCGGCTCCTAGGCGGAGGCGCTACCAGGTGGGTCTGCGTGTTGCCCCCATCCACAGGTACCGCTCCCGCAGCTCCCATTGGTTCCTGGTGGAGCTGGTGGTCTGGGCAGGGGTGGCGTGCGGAGCCCCCATGGCCGCCCCTACGCCTAGGAGCCAGAGGGAGATGCTGGCAGCTTCCCGGGAGCCGCGCGGAGCCGGGCAGGGTAGGGAGCCTGGTCTGCTGCACTGCCGGCTGGACTTTTAAAGGCCTGTGTGAATCTGGCCCACTGTGACTTGCAAAGCAAAGTGAAACTGGAGGGCAGGGCAGGTTTTTGTGCTGCTTGGACCCAGCCTCTCTAAGCGCTAATGAACTCTTCAGTCAGCTTTCACTGCCTGCAGGCGCTGGGCGGGCACTGGGCTTTTAAATCCTGGCTCAGGGAGTGTTTGCACTCAGGGGCCGGCTGCCCTGCTGTTCTGCACAATGCTGAACTAGCTCTTTCACATGGTCTTGTCTGGATTTGCTGCTCAAGGTTTTCTCATTAAAGCGCTTCTGGGAACCAGAATTAATGACTGACCATCTTGTTGCTGAGTCGGCTTTTTCGGGGCGTGTGGTTAATTGCTGCAGACACCTGGCGCCGCAGACCCAGGGAAGCAGGGTGCACAAGCTGCTTGTTACAGACGAAGTGTAAAGCAGAGGTGAGCAGTGAGTATGGAGGCCACATGGTCCAGTGGAGCGGGGTCCGGAGCCAGCCTGTGTTCAGCAAACCTGGCTTTTAGCCTTGACTCTGCTGGTGCTGGGTGGCCTCTGGCCAAGTTCGGTACCTCAGTTTTCCCATCTGTAAAATACGAACGAAATTAGGAAGGAAGGAGAAGCCAGTGTTGGCCTGGGCCTCTTCAGGACATCATCAAACCTCTGCCCTGCTACTGGCTTCCTGTGTGACCCTGGGCAAGTCACTTAGCCTCTCTATGCTTCTGTTCTGCATCCATACAATGGGGATAACAGCACTGCCCTCCCCCACAGAAGGTCTGTGAGGTGCTCAGATAATACTCTATAAGCACCAAAGAAAGAGGGCGAGCGCAGGTTTCTGTGCCAGGCTAGCATGGGGACTGTTTTAAAGCTTAACTCATTTTTTTAATCTCATTCCTTTGTTTCCATCCGAAATCCCCTTGGGACTCTCTGGTTCACACTGCAGCTGTCCCAGGATGCACTGTTCTGTGACATCACCAATAACCAATAGCCTTCGGCTCTATGGGCCCATTGATTTCTGGGCTGCTGTCAGAGGGCAAAAGCAAAGATAAAAGAGAAGCCAGTTGATCTTTATGGCTAGGCTGGGCTCCTGCCTCCGCTTTGAGCGGGGTGTGTGTGTGTGTTTGCTGTGACTGTCTGTGGTCTTTCTCTGGCTCTCATTCCCACAGTAACCAGGCACTGCCCAATCAGTAATGTATTTATCCTCTTAGCCCTCTATGCACTCTCGGTGGAACCAGCCAAGCCTGTGAGTGACCCTGCCCTGCCCCGATCAAAGAAACTTGAAGAAGGAAGAAATTCTCCTACGGGGGTCACTGACCAGGGGCGTGATAAGTCTGTGATGATTTAGATTGGTGGCATGTTCAAATCCAGCAGGGACAAGGGTCCTGTGTGTTCTAAGGGCTGGCAAATAACTCCAAGAAGGGATCATTTACCCAAATCTTCTGAACAAAAATACAAACCTTTAAAAAGTCTAAACAAAATCCACCAAGATTTTCCTGGGCCATTGAGGATTGAAAGACCTGAACACCTAATCGGAGTATAACTTTGGAATATTGAGAGAAATTGCTTAAAACGGGGAGATTCCCATTAACAGCCAGGACTAATACTGACGTACTGTCCGTGAAATGAATCAAATATTAAACCCTATGAGGAAAAAGAAGTTTGTCTTACACCAATGCCATCTACTGGATACCGACGGAAGCAGCAGAGAAACTAAGGGAACTGAAATCTGAATATACCGGAGCTGCCCAGTGCCCAATAGAAATCAGAGGTTTGGCCTCCTCCAGCACATCCAGAAACAGAGTCTATAAACCTGGGGTCACCGTGTGGACCTCGGAGCTGATGGAACCCACGAACGAGCTGCACAAGTCCAGAAGTTCTGAGTCCTGCACACTCAGGCCAGGATGGTGACCAGCCTTCCCCTGTTACACAGCTAAGGAGAAGAAATTTCCTTTCAGGAATTGCATTTCTCTCTCTGTTCTTGAATATTACATAACCGAAGGTTCTTTGGCTGACTCTACGCTTCTCAGTAACACCTTGTATTAGTTTTTAGCTAACTGGTGCTGTACGCATGCTCTCCTTTGTAAGCCCAAGCAAATTGGCCTAAGAGTGATTTTAAGCAATAACTTTAATTGCTTTTGATATTTTAAACCTGTCCCTTTCAGACCAAGTCATGCAAATAGCAGGGACCATGCTCTTAATGGTGTCTTTAACACAAATACTTCCTTACTCCTGGGAGAAGGACTGGAAGTGTGATAAGTGTTAGAGGTCCTAATGAACTGAGGATCGTAAGTAAATGTAATAAGAATATCATAGTGATTTGCATTGTTGTATGGTCTAACAGCTGAGCCTCGACCCTAGTCTATGACAATTGCTTGCAAGACAGTGTTGGCATATTCAGTACAAGTTTGGTGTCCCTGACCTTGATCTATAAACTGTTGAATACGTACATATGTGTTTGTAGGTAAATTAATAAGCTATAGATTGCAGATAAAAGCTGACCTGAAAAGAACTCATCATTACAATCAGTAACGGTGACGGGGCGGATACTGGTAAGGAGGGGGTTAATACTTCCCTCCTAGCAGAGGAAGACCCGCCCGAGGCTCTGCTGGGCATGCTCCACCTGGAAGTCAGATATAAAAGCCTGCAAAGCTGCTCAGGCTGACTGTGGTGGAGGAAGGACACTTGGCAGGGGCTCCAGCCCAGGAGCCGTTACAGCCTTTACCTGCGAGAGCTGAAGAGCCAGAAGCCTGGACTAGAGGCCTGCCGCTACCGGAAGCCCAGGGAGCGGCTGGTGCTGAGGAGCCTGGAGACCCCGATACCACATGGACCACTGCTGCAGGAGAGCCGGCAGGCAGTGACCCGGTGAGGGAGTCGTACCTCCCACCCTTATGAGGGCAGCCTGTTTCGGTGGCATTCCCCGCTGACCCCGTGGCAGACCGCTCTGCCCCTGGCAGAGCCCTGGTTTGGAGTCCGGTAGAGTCAGGTGGGTCTGGGCCCCCCTACCGGGGGCTGCCACCCCCTTGTGATGGCCCCCAGGCACCGGCCACTAGGCCATCCTACCCTGCTTCCAAAGGTGGCTGTATTGACACTGGCAGCTAGGGGAGGAGAATTAGGTGGACTCTGGCCATTGGGCCACACTCCTCTAGAGTCACACTGAATGGACTCTGGCTGCTAGGCCGCGCTACCCCACTCAGGAAGAGGCAGTAGATGGACTCTGGCCATTGGGCAACACTGTGCTGACAACCGGGGAGGTGTTAGAAAATGGACGTAGGCTTAGAGAGGCGGGGTTACCTCCCACCCTCCTGACTTAAGGGGCCGACGAGGTACTAAACCCGCCGCAGTAACCTAACCCTCCCCTGCACTCAATAAAAAGGTGTGATCCTAATTAAATTCCATCACAATATTGGCTACAACACTTATCGAACTGGCAAATCTAGGTTGTTAGAATCTAACTGGCATTTTGGCAACTTCATGAGCTCGCTCGCCGTTCACGCTTACATAGTAACTCCCCTGCACTCGCCCTTTGCCAGCCCCTTCAGCAGTGGTGCTCACCTCCCAAGGATGCTGTAACAGGTGCCCAAGCCCTCTGATGCTGAGTATCAACCTGGTGGGCAGGACTGCAGCATCTGTTTTTTGAGGAGCTCCGGGATCAGGAGCGCAGGTGCCGGAGCTGCCGGGAGCCTGGGCCAGAGCTGGAGTTGGGCTGCAGGGCTGTCCTTTCAGCAGAGTCATAGAATCATAGAATATCAGGGTTGGAAGGGACCTCAGGAGGCCATCTAGTCCAACCCCCTGCTCAAAAGCAGGAGCAATCCCCAATTAAATCATCCCAGCCAGGGCTTTGTCAAGCCTGACCTTAAAAACTTCTAAGGAAGGAGATTCTACCACCTCCCTAGGTAATGCATTCTAGTGTTTCACCACCCTCCTAGTGAAAAAGTTTTTCCTAATATCCAACCTAAACCTCCCCCACTGCAACTTGAGACCATTGAGTCCCCATAGTAATGGAGTGAGTCAAAATAACATTCTATGTGCCGTCTGCTCATGGTAGGGGAGCTGTGTGTCCAGAACCGCTTGTCGAAATGACCCAGTCGCTGGCTTTCCTTTGATTACGCTCAGTCCCACTGTTCAGGAAATGGTTGAGGAGTGAGTCATGATTACATACCCCTAGCTGCTTACTGGAGTCTTTCATCTTCCCTCCATTGAATCAGTGCTAATTTCCTTGACTGTACTCCAACAGAAAAATCGAAGTCTGCATGTGGATTTTAGAGCCTTTTTAAAGCAGAAATTTTGGACACAGGGCAAAACTTCCAGTGGGAACCTCTGCAGAATGCAGAGGGAACACGTAGGCGTAGACGGACTGAGAATTGAGACAAGATATATGGGCTTTCCAGCTTTGCAAAGGAAACTTCTCGGGAAGAAGCATGAAAATGTGACATGGTTAGATTGAGAGGTTCGGAGATCTGAATAAAGTTACATTTGGGCTGCAAATAGGATCAAGTGTCAAAAGCACATGTGTGTAATAGCCTCTAGATTTTTCTTTTTAATAAGCGTAAATGAAATTCTGTCTCTTCCCCAGACTGTTTACCCATTGGCTGCGGCGTGTGTCATCCTGCCAAAGCTCTGTGAACTGATACACAAAGATGTGTCTGTGCCCACCAGTCTCAAGGAAAATTCTCTCCATTTTTCCATAGCCTGGCAGCTTGTATGATGGGGAGCCTGTCTCAAAAGACAAGGGATTGGGAAAAGAGAGCTTTTAAAAAAAAAACAAAACAGTGGTTTGGGTTTTTTTGAGTCAGCTGACCTCTTGTTTAAAAAACAACTTTATTTGTGACACTGACTAGCAGAGGCAGTTTAAGGTTTCGTGGGGCCCTGGGCCAGAGTAAGTGGGGGGGCCCTCCCAATCCCCTCTGTCTGCAGTCCCACTCCCATTTTGCCCCTTCTGCTTGCGGCTCTGCCCCATTCTGCCTCCCACTGTGGCCCCAGCTCCGGGGCCGCAGCGAGGGGTGAGAGCCCTCCAGCCCAGAGGCCATGGCAGGGAGGTAGACCTGCTCCAGTCCCAGGGCTGCAGCTGGGGTCCCAGCGCTCCTGCCGGGGAGGGGGGGTCAGAGCATGGGGGTGCCCATTTAGCTGGGGCCCCCCAATTGGCCAGGGCTTTTTGGCACGGGCCCCATTGGCCCAGTGGCTAATCCACCACTGCATTAATGCCAAAGGCGATCACCCCGCACCAGTCCTGAAAGGGTTAAGGTGGCCCCGAAGAGGCCACTTCACCTTCTCAGTGGCACCTGAAGGGAGGTCCAGGGATTTATAAATAGTAATTGCTGAGGGAGGCCAGCAGGGGGAGAACCTGGGTAAGGAATAGAAAGGGAAGAGTTTTGTAGGAGCAGGGAGAGAATCTGCAAGTTGCTCTCTAGGAGCTGGGAAGTGGGGAGGAGGAAAGCCAGGGGGAGAATAAGCCCTGAAGGGAGAGTCAACCCCACAGGAGTTGTGGGGAAAGAGAGCCTGAGAAGGCAGGGTAGCAAGAAACCCAGGTAACAGCAGCAAGAAGGGGGACAGTGCGGACCGTGGCTGCTGGTTATGGGATCCCTGGGTTGGAACCCAGTGTAGAGGGAGGGCCTGGGTTCCCCTACCAGCCATTGGGAAGTGGTGCTGGATTGTTGGAGATGCCTGGTGAGACTCTGATTCCCTGGAAGGGGGGATCACATAGCGACCTAGCCAGAGGGCTGAGAGAGAGCCCCGCGCTGACGGAGTGACCATGGGCGGGGGGAGCCATATGGAAAGAAAGCTGCTTCGCAAGGCCAGGCCGGGAAAGAGGCGCTCTTGCAGTGAGTGAAGCCTGTAACAGACCCTGTCACCACGATCGGAAGAGAAGATGGCATGATGGGACAGGTTCTAGGCTGGGAGCTTGGTTGGTTTCAGTGGAGCTATGCTGGTCTACACCAGCTGAGAACCCAGTGCAATGGACCACTGGAAGCAGACAACAGACCTAGTGAAAAACAAAGGGCAGACACCGTACCGCTAAGAGCTCAATCTAGACCAAGCAGATACACTATTATTATTATTAATAATAATACTTAATGTTTTGTGGCCCTGGCTCCCCATTATTTTGCACCTTATACAGCCATTTACTCCAGAGTACAGTGCAAAATGCTATCATCCTGATCTGGCAGTATTTCACCTTCACTTTGTGCTTGTGTTGATTACTGCAGACGGTGCAGGGAGTTGCAGAATCAAGCGCACGGTGTAGAGAGTTTACATCTTCCAAACGCTTTCCCTGCCGTCGTTAATTATCCTTCAAATGCAAAGGCAGAAAATATCACCATGCCGCTATCTAAAACCATGGTACGCCCACGTCTTGAATGCTGCAGGCAGTTGAGGTCACCCCATCTCAAAAAAGATAGATTAGAATTGGAAAAAGTACAGAGAAGGGCAACAAAAATAATTAGGAGCTGGGAACTGCTTCCCTAGGAGGAGAGATTAAAAGCACTGGGACTGTTTAGCTTAGAAAAGAGAGGACTAAAGGGGGGTGGGATATCATAGAGGTCTATAAAATTATAAACGGTGTGGAGAGAGTGAATAAGGAAGCGTTATTTACTCCTTCACGTAACACAAGAACTAGGGCTCACCCAATGATAGTAATAGGCAGCTGGTTTAAAACGAACCAAAGTTAGTACTTCTGCACACAACATACAGTCAGTGGAACTCATTGCCAGGGGATGTTGTGAAGGCCAAAAGTATAACTGGGTTCAAAAAAGAATGAAGTTCCTGGAGGACAGACCCATCAATGGCTATTAGCCAAGATGGTCAAGGATGCAACCCCATGCTCCAGGTGTTCCTAAATCTCTGACTCCCAGAAGCTGGGACTGGACAACAGGGGATGGATCACTTGATTTAATTACCCTGTTCTGAATCATCTGGCATTGGCCTCTGTGGGAAGACAGGACACTGGGCTAGATGGGCTATTGGTCTGACCTTGTGTGGCCATTCTTATGTTCTTAAAGACTGGCTGCTGGCATCTGACTTGCTGCCCATTCTGTGGGAATGTAGCGAAGTCAAAGGATCTGTGAGAATGTGATGTTACGGCTAGGTCTGGGCTTCAGTTTTCCAACTGAATAGGCCCTTTGTGCAAAAATGAAAATTGTCTGTGGGAAAATTTCAATTTGGTTGAAAAAATTCAGTTTTTCTATTGGGGAAAAAAATCCAAATGCTGGAACCCTGAAGGTTCATGGAGAAGGATCTTGTCAATTTCACCTTTTCCCTGCAGGCAGAAGATAAAATTGACAAGGAAGGCACACAGCAAGCCAAAACAAATTTCCATTTTGTTTTTTTTGACTTTCTGTCCCATGAAAAATGTTGCGATTTTTACTCCAATTTAGAATGAAAATTTTCCCTAAATCTTGGCATCTTCGGCAGGATGAAAATTCCTTTTTTGCAGACCATGCTAGTTATAGCGATATCAGAAATGATGGAAATAAACCTACAACAGTCTCTGCAATTGGGCCCTCTCGGATGGGAAAGCAGAAAACTAGAAAATAGCCATAAGGAAAACCAGTAGACCTTTGTTTTGATGTATCCACACACTTGAATTCCATAGTTACACCCAGCAAGGGGAGAGTGTTCCCCAGAAAATACAGATAAAGCCTCTTAGTTTCATACTCTTTTATTATTATGAAATGGCAAGAGAGGTGAAAGATGATATTATGGAGTACAAAGTGGTGAGGAAGCTGAAATCTTAGCAGAAATGCCAGACTTCTAAATGCCCGGCAAAAGCAATAGACAGCAAAAGCAGCGGAGTGACAGTTTGGTGAATCTATTGCTGCAATAAACATTTTAGTTCAAAGAATACGAATCGTGGCATAATATTCATGCAGAGAAGATTTAGTGTGGTTCAGGGGTGAAACACTTTATTAATGTTTGTTCGGAGGCAGCACAGTGCCGGACTGCCAGGTGAAGCCATCGGTTAGAGTTTGGGACCGTTACACTTGAAGATTTTGGAAAACACCTCTGGCATCGGTTTTGCTCATTCCGTCCTGGAGAACACAAAGAAGCAGTGGAAGTGCTAGACAGCTGGGCAAGTGGAAGACTGAACGATTTGTGAAGGCAAACAAGGCATCTGTCCTTATAAAAGGGGGGACTAACACAACTTACTCAGGAGCCTTTTGCAACTTGCAATGTACGAGAGAGCCATACACAGAACTGGCGTGTATACGCTGCAGATTCCGTATGTAAGAGGACTACTGGACACCTATACAGCCCTGTAATCAGCTGTGCATGGTCTAGAAGAAAGTACAGTAGCATTACATTCTGCGTACAGCGTATGATACTTAACCCACCCAGATATTGAGATTTCTAGTTCTCAGCAGTTGCTTCAGTCCATTAGATTGTGTGCATGAACCTAAGGGCCCCGGTACCTATTGACCAAACACGCACAACTCCCCTTGACCATATTGGCTTGATCAGGACACCTTTGTTTCTCTGTGAGATCTGAGGAATATATAGACCCTGGAAGCATGCCGGTTCTAAATTCAGGATGTAGAAAGATCTCATGAAGGGTGAAGACATAGCCTCAGATTTCACACAGAAACCAAGATGAAGGCAGGTTTCTGTAATCCATTCCTAGGCCTCTTGTATCAGCTCTGACTCCAAACCAGCAATGAAGGGTGGATGGAGAATTCAATGGTTTTTGTTTCAGTTTAATTTAGTAGATTTCTCCCAATCATTGACCTGCTTTCTTACTCTTTGTAAGGCACACTGAACATTAAACACGTCGGTCTTGGAGACTTGGGCCCAGTTCTCTGGTACCCTGCACCTTTGGATAGAATTTACCCCAACGCCAAGTGGATAACCAGTGCTATCTGCTCAGAATGGCTGTGTCTGTCACTAGAGCTGCTGGGAAGGTTTCGAGTTGCACGTTTTTCCTTTGGAAAATACTGGTTCATCCCAATCAAAGTGTTTGTCGGGAACGTGTCAATTTTGACCCTTTCATTTCAGAAACAAAGGCGTAATGGCGCGTTCCGGTAAAGTCGGAAAGTTCCATTTCACTCTTTCGGGAACCAAACTTGCTGATGTTCCATTTCAAAATGATTGATTGGTCAATAGTTTGACTTTAGACAATAGAATATACAATTTTGAAAAAGCTGAAATCAGAGTGAACCATTGTGATCCACCCAAAATAGTCCCCCCGCACCCGCAATTTTGTTTCACAGGAAATTTTTGAATTGTTTTGTTTTTTGTTCTGGAATGGGAAATTTTTTTCCAAAATTGCAGGATTTCTCCTGAAACAGAAAGCGCTTCCCGTACAAGTGTCTCTTACACCGAGTTGGCACTGGTGCAGGGTAAAGGAGAAGCAGACCCTTTATTTTAGGAGCCTCTTGATTTTTCACTCCCCCAGGCAAGAAGGCAGGCGTTTCAGACCAGGCACACCCACTGTTTGGCATGTCCGTTTACCATAGATAGTCAAAAGACCTTTAAACGGTTTGAAGGCAGCTGAGGCATAGCAGCTATAAAGAGTGTTTTGTTCCAGTCTGTATGGATTTCAAGTGTCCACAGGAATATGTACTTTTTTAAAAACTAATTTTATTTAAAGTTTCATTATAAGTACCTCTCCCCTGGTTTCCATGGCTTTTTGGCTTGGGACACAAAACCATACAGGCCTGCGAAGGAAAGTTTACATTCTTCACCTCCAGTTTAAAAATCTTAAAGTCCGCAGCCTGGGTATTTTTGGAAGGTGAAATAGCCATGCTCTGTATGTGGAATTTACATTTTTCATAGCCGTTTACTAGTTCGGGCTGCCTCGTTCCCTTCTACGCGTTACATACTCTGCAAGCTCTCTGGAAGGCTTTGAGTTGCTGCACATTGTGGCTTTCCTGACTAGCATCATAATGTCAAGAACCGGCTAGTGTGCAGCCGCACCCCTGTCCTCTGGTGGGTGGAATCAGAACTGCTCCACTGTGGCTCATAGACCCTATACTGGGTAGCTGCTCAAGGAAATTCACTCTGAGCTCACTCTGTAGAGGCCTGGAGCAGTGGCTCTGGGTTCTATCACTCTGAAATTCCAAACAACCACCTGATGCACCATGGTGACCTCTGTGAAGTCCAAGGTTACCATAGATCTGTTACAATTAATCTCCGTATAGACGTTCCTAGCCTCCCTTGCAGCGCTGAGACCCATAAACAGCGGGTACACTGGAGCAATGCTACCCTTAAGCACAAACCCTCCTCTTCAGTCTTTTCCATCTCTTTTGTTCTGTTGCTTTTTGGGCTAACGTGTCTCATAGCTGGTGTCAGCACAGGTGTGAACAATCCAGCCAACGGGCCTTTTTTTATTTAAGTGGACATTAAAAAAACCTCCCAGATTTTCCACCACTTGTTTCCAGACACTTCTTTGCACTTGGGGGGAAGAAAACCTGTTTTTTTGTTTTGTTTGTTTAACCCCTTCCCCTGAGGACTGCTCACTCCAAGTAGCCCCTAAGGCTCAGATCCTCATAGGTATTTAGGTGCCTAACGCCCATTGAAATCAATGGGAGCTAGGCAGCTGCGGTCAGTTTGCTGCTCGGCTCCGGACAAATCAGCACTAGGTCCGCAGTCAGGCGTAAGGAAACAAAAGGTCTATTCCCAAGCAGTCGCCCCCTTCAGGCAGGGCACCATTTGCAGCAGACTAACTCAGCGGCAGGGTCAGGTCATTCACGGCTGACACAGACCCAGCCATAGTCCCACAACTCTCCTGCCTCTCCCTAGGGAGGCTCTGGAAGGCTCAGCTGCTCTCTCACAGCTGGAGATCTGCTCTCCTCCCCAATCAGCCTTCATCTGAGCCGGGCTCTCCCCTCACTCCAAGCCTGACGCCAGCCAGGTGAAGCAGGCCGGGGCTGACGGAGCCCACAGCCGCCCGTGAAGCCAGTGGGGTTGGTAAAGCACAATGCCTAATACTCTTGATACTCCATGAGCATCCGAATACTTCATGAGAGTAGGGGACTGGACTAGATGACCTCTCAAGGTCCCTTCCAGTCCTATGATTCTTGTGGCTCTGGTCCTTACTGCTCAAAGCCGCCCTAACTAGAGCAACGTGCAGAGCCAGCTACTGCTCAGTAAGCAGGCTGCCCAGGCCTTCGTCCCACTGACGAGTGGCTACTCAGACGCAGCCCCAAAATAATTCAGCGGGGGTGAATCGGATGATCACCAGCGAGAGGATTAGCAGCGTGGCCCTCCTGTGATACGGGCAGCAAGAGCCAGCCGTAAGGGTCCGGTTCCGATAGCCATCCTCACACGGAGTAGCACCTTGCTCCCTGGCTTTAGAAGGCCAATGCCTGGCTCGTGGCGTGAGGCACTACAAGGCAATCAGAATCGGGCCCTCAGAGCCCACATGCGACCCATGTTCAATGTGGCAGTAATCCCAGGGGATGGGAGCCCGAGCAATATTTAACCCCAAGTCTTTAAGGCAAAACTGATGTGGTGGCTGTATTTGGTTTTAGTGGGTCAGGCAGCATGGGCCAGATCTGCGGCTGGTGGAAACAGGCTCCATCAATACCTCCTGAGGCTCTGTCCCCAAAATTTCCCTTCATCCTAATGAAAATGTATCCACGTTCCTAGCAAAATTCTCACACTGATGGTTTTCTCTTTGCTCTGCGGTTTTGGACAAGGCAGAGAGGCTGGGACTCCTTTTCAGGAATGAGGCTTGCGCCTGATCAGCCCCTATTGCGCAGAAGAAAGGGCCCGCTGGCATTTGTCTGGCAGAGAAACCTTGAATATCCAAATGGAAAGGGTGGGGAAACTGAGCGCAGGTTGGAAAAATGGGAGCGTTTAGAGAAGCAGGGATGTCCGCCACCCCAGGGCAATGTGATCGGACTTCAACTAAGAGGGGAATTTGGACAGGTGAGGTGGTCGTCTGTTTGCACACACGTTTCTTAATAAAACACAATAGGAATGAGCTCAAATCCGACCGCTACTTCGTGGTTCTCTAGCACGTTCTCGCACAGGTACGGTCAGGGCTATGGCACAATGCCTGCTCACACCAAGACAAACTGAATGTGGCTTCCAACACTTGTGAGCTAACCACGGGCACGTGACGGTGTGACTGCCGCATGGCTTGGCACGCCCCCGGTTTGTTTTGGTCTAGCCAGCATGAGTAACAATAGCAGGGTAGAAAAGGGCGAGACGGACTTTGGCATGGGCTGGCAACCCAAATAGGCACCCCGGGACTCTGGCAGGCTAGTATTGGGGTGGCTAGCCTGGGCCACCAGATGTTAAGGGGGCCACTGATGCACCCCAGAATTACCAGACATTCCAGTACTTCTGGGAATGGCGTGGGGCTGACCCCAGCTGTGTGACACTGCCCTTGGGCGTGACCGGATGGATGGCATGTTGGAGAGCACCCCAGTCAGGGGCGCTGGAACGGGGGGGGCCAGAGGCCACTTTTTGCCACGGGCCCTGTCCCTGCCCCTTCTCTTCCCCCAAGGTCCCACCCCCTGGCCAGACCGGCAACAGGAGCCCAGGGGAGCCTGGGCAGGGGTGGGGAGCTGCGGACCCTCCACCTGCCCTGGGTGGAGGGCTTGGGGGGTGGGGTGGGAACACAGGCCAGGGGCTACTCTCAACCCCCCTGTACCCCAGGCAGGTGATGGGGCCCGGGCTCCCCAGCCCCACTTCTGGCTTGGCCAGGGGTGGGGTCTTGGTGGTAAGAGGAGGGGCAGGGGCAGTGCCAGGGAGAGGGTGGGGGTCCCTGCCCTCCCCCCACTTTTGGGGAAGCTCCCCCGCCCCGACTCCAGTCACACCAGCATGTTGAAGAGTGCGCCATTCTGCCCCGATGTCCTCCACAAACCCGTGACCGGCGTTATCCCGGTGCTGGACAGGGGCCCACCCACAGAAAAAAAGGACGGCCCGGCTTAAAACCGGACAAATGGCCGGCCTGCCGCAACTACCCTGCGATGGTTACCCGCGCTGGCTAGAGTAACACTAGCTCAGGTGTGCCGACACCTGCATGTACTGCGTAGACATACCCTTGAGAAGAGAGAAGGTGGGCGGGGGGGGGGAACACGGACGATGAGTCTTGGAGGTGTCATCACTGGGCGATTCGTTAATCAGCATCGTCAGCGACCACTTTCAACGTAAAGGACAACACAGAGACCTAACCAAAGAGACCCGGCCGAGTGCTCGGGCCGCTGGCATCAGACCAGATCAAAATCTAACGCGCTAATGCTGGCTATCGGCGCGCGCCAGAAATTGAAGCTGTTGAACTGCAGGAGAGTGTCCTCTTCCTCGGCGATGTCCTGCCTGAGCTTCTTCCAGTCCCCAGGCCGCTTGCCCACACCGCCCTTGGCTTTGTAGAGTGCCGCGTCGGCCAACCCCAGCCCCTCCAGCTCCGCCAGGTCGAGCTCTGGGATGGGCATTCTCCAGTACAGGAAGGAGTCGTACTGGCTGTTCGCCGTGTCCAGCATCTCCGCCTACAAGGAAGAAGACAGGAAAGTCTTCTGAAGCCACGGGCTACCACGCAGTCCTAGCCACTCGGGCTACGGAATGATCGAAAACGTCACTGCTTCATGATTACCACAGGGCCCAGGCCCCAACCCTGTGAACAGGCCCGTGGAGAGAAATTTGGGGCCCCAATACATCGGCTGCTGGGGCCCCACCTCATCCCATTTCACCACAGTTACGGACGTTTTGGGGGTCAGGGCCCTGGTACAATGGTCCCTTCCCCAATCAATGCTGGCGGCGAAGAATTTTGCTCTGTGGGTGGGTGGATAAGGCAGCAGGCTAGGGCTCGGGAGCGCTGGGTTCCCCAGCACCCTTCTCTGTACTCTAGGGCAGGTCACTTCGGCCCAGGCCCACTGACATCGTGGCTGTCGGGCACCTCAGTACCTTTGAAGATGTGGGTCTCAGCGCCCCATCTGTAAGTTAGTACTAACGCTCCTTCCTCTGTCTGATCTAGGGAGATTGTAAGGTCTCTGGGGCAGGGATTGTCTCTTACTCTGTGTCCGTGCAGCACAATGGGACCCCTAGGTGGTACCGCCATACACCTCCTAATGAAGAAATTATGGGATGGGAACATCCCACAAATCCTGGGACAAGTCCCGGCCCCCGAGTCCTTCAGGAGCTTCCCCTCCCCAGGCTGCGAAGAGCTGGTTTTACAGCCGCCTTCTATTCCAGCAGCCACACGTTGGTCCTCAGCAGCTGGTTTGTCCGATTTTGATAAAGGATCCAAAGCAGCTGCTGCCTAGTGGCTAGTGCACTGGCTTGGGACTCAGCAGAGGTGGGTTCTAGTCTGCGTTCTGCCACTGGTGACCTCAGGCAAGTCACTTAACCACTCTGTGCCTCAGTTTCCCCATCTATAAAATGGCAGCGATGCTACTGACGTCCTTTGTAAAGTGCCTTAAGAGCTGCTGATGAAAAGCGCTAGGTAAGAGCTAGGGCCTAGATACTCAAAGGTATTTATGCCTAACTCCCTTTCAGGATCTGGGTCCTAGGGCTTATGATTGGCTTCTCTATAGCATTTCCCTTGGATATGTAGATACAAATGGTCTCGGAAGGAGCCACCCTAATGTTTGCATGGTAGGAAACTAATCATGAGGGATGTGGAAATAATATCCCCTGTGGTTTGTTTCTAGTGTTGAGAATTTGCGGGTGACTGGGAATGCGAACAGAACTAAGTGCAGACATGGGAATAAAACAGGAACAGAAATATAATTAGGATTTGTAGGATTCATCATAAGGACGCACCACAAATTCTTGCTGTCCTTTGACTATAACTCTCTGGATAGAATAGTGTGTGTGTGTATGTGTGTGTGTGTGTGTGTGTGTGTACACGTACACCTACGCCTGTGGGGGACAGTGTTGCCTAGTGGGACTCAGAAGATCTGGACTCTGTTCCTGTCTTGGCCACTGGTCTGCTGGGTAGCTCACTTCACAGCTCTGTGCCTCAGTTTCCCCATCTATATAATGGGATAATGGCCCATTTCCTCAAAGGTATATTGACTTCCATTGTAAAGCACTTTGAGTGCCTCTGATGAGAAGAAGTCTAAGAGGCATTACGATTGTATGCGTGCGTATAACTCTGTGGGCATGCATGTATATCTGTGGGGAGGGGGTGTGTATGCATACCCAAACCCCGCCCACGCCCACAAAGACAAAGGACTTCATCCTCTTTCCAGCACACCCCTGCTCAAGTCAGGAGTCACTCCACTGACATCAGTCCAACCCCTCCCCGCCAGATGTGAGAGCAGAATCAGGACCAAATCGTGTCCAATCAGCTGGAACAAAGCTCTGCTTCGGGGTTTCTAGGCCCCCCCGTCGCACACCTCCTTGCCCACCTGAAACGCTTCTCCTACCTCCAGCTGCTCGGCACATCCCAAACTACGAGATCCATTGTGTGTCGAGCCAGACGGTTCCTGCAGTGGCCCCACCCAGGCGAATTTGCTGCAGAGCCCCTCCCCCGCCCTTGCTCTTCACTTTGATACCACCTTAATATACAATTCTCCCCACTCCCCAAAGGCCTGGCCTACCCTGGTCCAAGTGAATCCAACCCTTAATGTGCATTTTCCTGGCAGGACTGTGTCCTTTGGTCCTCGCTGTCTTTGATTTTAGTCAATCTATCTATATATCCCTCGCTTTCCACTGACTGCTTGTTTCTTACGAGGCTTAATTCCAATGGGTTTCCAACATCCTCTGCAACAGGGCACTCACATTCCCATCAAATTACACAGGGACCAGTTTGCTTCTAAATTTAAAAAAAATCAAAATGTACTGGGAAGACTGTATGTCATCCCCTTCCACAAAACAAACAACTGTGTTTTTTAAATAGCACTCTGCTCACGGGTATATTTCAGGCTTTCTTTTTGCAAGAGGACAGCAGATTATTAAAATTAGACCCATCGTGCATTTAGCACCGGGCAATCTGCTTGATTTAGAAATGCACTCAGCAACGCCAGCCTCAAAGCCACCGAGGAGGGAGGATAATTATATATATTTAAAAAGCGGCAGATATTAAATAAGGCAATTTACACGTCCTCTGCGTCGCCTACCGTCCTCATATCTAAAGAGAAGCGCGTCCCCTTTATTAACGGAATCATGTTAACGCGCAGGCAGCCAGGTTAGAGGGGGGGAATGGAGCCTTTATTCAACTGCAGTGAAAGCCCGGTGCTAAACTGATCAGATATGCTCCCTTTCCTCTCCTTCCCTGTATCCGAGGGGTAGCCATGTTAGTCTGTATCCACAAAAACAACGAGGAGTCTGGTGGCACCTTAAAGACTAGCAGATTTATTTGGGCATCCGCTGTGGTGGGTAAAAAACCCCACTTCTTCAGATGCCTGGAAAGCCTCTGAGGGCTGACACACCAGCAATCCAAGCCTCAGCAAGACCCCCCCCCCCCCGCCCAAGTGGCTCAGCTTTCCTTTGAAAGAATAATGCTGATTTTGTTACCTGTTTTAAGGAAGGGTTGGATCTGCTGGCTGCTAACCCAGCTGACAGGGTTTTCGTTGTGCCGTACTCGTCTTCGGAGGCAGCTGGACGTCAGGCTTGCAGAATTTTCTGCCTTGCTTTTGTCTGAGTGTGAGTTTGCGCGTGTGTCTGTCTGTCTCCGCAATGCAGCCCCTCCTGCAGATTTATTACCCCTCCTCCGGGGGGCTGGTGGGCCGATGATGCAGCTGTACGAATGCTCTGCTGTTTAAGTAACTCACCCAGGCTTTATTATAGTGGGAGTGGGGGCGGGCTTGAAAGCAGAAGTGATTTGACTTCATCCACACACTTGATCTTAGCTGCAGGTTCTGTAAGTACCTACATGGGGAACAAATATTTAATGGGGGCTCTTCAATCTTGCAGAGAAAGATCGAACGCGCGCCAATGGCTGGAAGTTGAAGCTAGACACATTCAGACTGGAAATCAGGTGTGCATTTGTAAAGGGAGAGCATTTAACCATCGGAACAATTTCCCGAGGGTCATGGTGGATGCTCCATCACTGACCATTTTTAAATCAAGACTGGATGTTTTGGTAAAAGCTCTGCTCTGGGAATGGTTTCGGGGCAGGTCTCATAGAGGAGCTGAGGACATTTTGCAAATAAATAAGTGACGCTAAGCAGATACCTAACTCTGCACCACTGAGTTCTGCTCCAGAGGGGAAACTGACCTGTAAATCCCTTAAATCCTGCTCAACAAGGGAGGAATTAATTAACTCAAGATGTTTTCAAGACACCTGTTGAAAAGACCCCATACCAAATAAGGCTGTATTGTTCCTGCTTCCTATCAAATTACCGAGGATATAAAATCCAACTCTACAACTGGCATAGGATTAGAATGATCTTCTGGGTCATCCACAGGAATGATTTTCCTGTTGCTGTGTGCACATAATTCAAATCAAAGCCAAGCCCCCTCTGCGTTAGGTTTTCAGACGGTCTATTTCTGCCTCCATGTTTTTGCTTTCAGATCCACTTATCTTAGAGCCTGGGCAATTAGTGCAGCAGCGAAGATAGGCTATCTCTCCCTAAATAGACATACGTTTTGTTCAGTCATGTTCGCCCAGCTGGGGTTGCGGTGGAGGAGGGGCTGCACAACCTAGCAAGTGTGCAAACTCTGCTGCGGGAACCAGCAAAATTTTTCTGTCTGGTGTTTTCTGAAGAGGTCAAGTAGTTTTGTTTTCCTTTGCTTTTCTGCTGATGAATGCTGAAGGCCAGACCCTGTGGGAAACTGATCAGGAGCACACAGGTTTGATGGGAGAAACCAAGGAGGAAGAACACCCAGAGCTGCATCTAGTCCTTCCAAGCAGACACTTAGCTAGGGGCCAAGTGAGCAGGAGCAGCTAGGGTTGTCGGGAGATCCCTCGTGGATCCATAGCCAGAAGGGACCATTAAATCATCTACTCTGACCTCCTGCATATCACAGGCCATTAAATGTCACCAAGTTACCCCTCCAACCAGGGGCGTGGGCCCAGGGGACCACGGCCCCATCACTTGGGGGGCAGAGGCAGTGCAGGGGCAGGGCCTTGCATGGAGCGGGCGGAGTGAGGGCAGGGGCTTGGGGAGAAGGACGACCGGGGGGCGGGGCCTCTGGAAAAGGAGCGGGGCCTTGGGGCAGCACGGGGCAGGGGGTGGGGCCAGGGTTCAGGCACCGGTGGCCCCCCGCCTACTTTTAGGGAGCTTTTCTGCTGCTCCTCCAGCACATCACTTGGATGTTGCCATGGAATGACGGTTGCCTCCATCACAGTGGCAGGGTCCATATCCCTGGGCTGAGCAGGAGACACCCCCTGCTTCCTGCTCTCAGAGGGGTGCATAACAGGAAACAGCATCCCTCGACCTGGCTCCCCGTGGTGGTCGCTCAATGCTCTGTGTCTGCACACCGTGGAGGTGCCATGCTACGGAGGCAGTGTTCCCCAGTACAAAGGACACAGGGTGCTATTCCTGTCCCTGCAACTGGCCTGCTGGGTGACCTTTGGCAAGTCACTATGCTGCCCGGTGCCTCAGTTTCCCCATCTGTAAAATGGGGATTATTCTAACCTCCCTTGTAAAGCACTTGGAACTTGACTGATGGGAAGTGCTAGATAAGCGCCAGGGATTATTGTCACTGCAGATAGAGCCTCCCCAATCCCAGTGCACTAGGTCTCTCTTTGCTGGTACGCCGCACAAGTACACACACACGGCCCGATTAGCTTCTTGGAGGGACTTGATGCGTTCGGACACGTGAGGCGATGCCTTTTGACAAGTGTCACAACTCCTTTGGGAGCTCTCCATCTAATGCGGCCCGCTGGCCAGCAGTCACCTCTGCTTCCCTCGGGAGCATCCCTCTCCATGAGCACGTCTTTATTCATCAGCAGGACAGGCGTCACCATGGCTTCTGCTCAGAAAGCTGAATCCGTGCAGGTCTCATCAGACGAGGCACGTTGCAACAGACTGAAGTCAAGATCGAGCCTGGAACAACATCCAATCCTTACACCTCTGTTGTCTGAAACAGGGTTGCATCTCCCCTTGTCTATAAATGACATGGCCTCACGTAATGCAATGGGCTTGTAAGCCGGCCTCTCCGCTGAGCTCAGAAGGGAGTTCTCATGGCACGATCAATGATAGGCACCATTTGCTTGGTTTGCCAAACTGATGAGAATGACTGTCTGGAGATCAGGAGAATCCAGAGTCTAGCTACCTCTAGGAATCACTGCAAAACCTTCCTCCTGGACAAAACTTTCCCCACGCCCATCAGAATGACATCTGCATGGGGTGACATTTTTGAAAGCACTTAAGAGACTTAGCAGCCTAAGGCCTTGTCCGCACACAGCGTCTGTCCTGGTATAGAATCACAGAACTAGAAGGGACCTTGAGAGGTCATCTAGTCTAGTCCTCTGCACTCAAGGCAGGACAAAGTGTTCTAGTTGATCCCTGACAGGCGTTTGTCCAACCTGCTCTTAAAAATCTCCAATGATGGAGATTCCACCACCTCCCTGGGCAATTTATTCCAGTGCCTAACCACCCTGACAGTTCAGAAGCTTTTCCTAATGTCCAGCCTAAACCGCCCTTGCTGCAATTTAAGCCCATTGCTTCTTGTCCCGTCCTCAGAGGTTAACAAGAACAATTGTTCTCCCTCCTCCTTGTAACAACCTTTTATGTACTTGAAAACTGTTCTCATGTCCCCTCTCAGTCTTCTCTTCTCCAGACTAAACAAACCCAGTTTTTTCAATCTTTCCTCCTTGGTCATGTTTTCTAGACCTTTAGTCATTTTTTGTTGCTGTTCTCTGGACTTGCTCCAATTTGTTCACATCCTTCCAGAAGTGTGGCGCCCAGAACTGGACACAATACTCCAGCTGAGGCCGAATCAGCGTGGAGTAGAGCGGAAGAATTAGTCCTCGTGTCCTGCTTACAACACTCCTGCAAATACAGCCCAGAATGTTGTTTGCTTTTTTTGCAACAGTGTGACACTGTTGACTCACATTTAGCTTGTGATCCACTCTGATCTCCCCCCCCCCCACCCCCGCTCCCTTTCTGCAGTACTCCTGCCTAGGTATAACCAGGTAGTGTGTAGCCGGGGTGGGGTGAGAAGCAGGCGGGGCTAGCCCGAGTATGATCCTGTCTGGGATATTAGGAACGTACTCCAGGTGGAGAGCCCCCTCCCACTGCTAGCACTGCCATGGCAATAGGTGCTTGCTCCATCAGGTGTGCCTCTTGGAGCCGGGACTTCCACCTTCTAGCTTCAGATCAGACACACCCACAAGGTGTGATTTTCTTTTTTAACTGATATTTAGTAAGACCAGTACAACCCCTGCTGTGGGCATTGTTATACTGGTTTAAAGGTGCGGCTATAGCTTATTCCCCTTCCTGCATGGAAATGGTTGTACCAATATAAAGCACCTGTATATTAATATAACCGCAGACACACAAGGCGGTGGTTTTGCTGTGGGACAGCTCTCTGGTAAGATGGGTAATTTCATTTGCAAAAGGCCTTCAAAAAGGTATCTAGGCTCCTAAATCCATTTGGCATTGGACCGCTGAGTGCAGCAAGGCTTAATTACTGCCGTAGGCTCCCGAGTGCCTCGGTGGCTGCTGAAAATGGGACAGAGGCTCTTACATTACGGGCTTTTGAAAATGTTACCCAACATCGCCTGATGCCCTCTGTCCACTCACAGCAAAGCCCAGCCCCAAGCAGTGAATTATTTCCCCATGTGGCTGGCAAGAAGAAGAGGCTTCTATTCCCACTGAGAACCCTTCTGCTGCACCCCGCATGCTTAAGATGCGTGGTAAACGTGTGACACTCACAAAGGTAGTTACTGATCCAGGACAGCTTCTCCGTATGGCGGGGACTTTGGGTGGTTCCGTGCCTTGTGCATTCACACAGGGTGTAAAGTGGGTGATAATAACCCCGAGCTCTCTGTGAGGGGCTGGGTTACAGAGATCCCCTTGGGACTGCCAGCTGATATGCTGGGACTACCTCTGAGCCCATTTTCCCTGGCAGCTTGGGACTTCAGTACCCTGCCTTGTTGAGCCAGACATGCTAGTTTGCTACAAACACAGACCCAGGTCTGAATCACATCCCCCAAAAGCTGCAGGCTTAACTGAAAACAGCTTAAGAATTGCTCCTGTCTCTAGCACCCAGATACCCAGTTCCCAATGGGATCCAAACCCCAAATAAATCCGTTTTACTCTGTATAAAGCTTATACACAGTAAACTCATAAATTGTTCTCCCTCTATAACACTGATAGAGAGATATGCACAGCTGTTTTCTCCCCCAGGAAGTAATTACTTGCTCTGGGTTAATTAATAAGTAAAAAGTGATTTTATTAAATAGTAGGATTTAAGTGGTTCCAAGTAATAACAGACAGAATGAAGTAAGTTACCAAGCAAAATAAAATAAAACATGCAAGTCTAAGTGTAATACATTGGGAAACTAAATTCAGGTAAATCTCACTCTCAGAGGTGTTCCAATAAGCTTCCTTGACAGACTAGATTCCTTCCTTGTCTGGGTCCAGCAATCGCTCACACCCCCGTAGTTACTGTCCTTCGTTCCAGTTTCTTTCAGGCATCTCTTTGGGGTGGAGAGGCTATCGTTTTGAGCCAGCTGAAGACCAAATGGAGGGGTTTCCAGGGCCTTTTATATTCTCTCTTGTGCAACACCACAGCCAGAAGATGGGGTCTCTAGCTACCTGGGCAAGACCCATGTCTATGAA